ACCGTGTTCGACGAAATGCTACTTTAAGAGTGGGACCCCCTGTAAAGCAGCGAATTTTCGAAAAAGCATTTACCAACGCGTTGAGATTGGTGTAAAATAGTTGATGTTATATGCGATAGTACCTACCAATAACTATAAAATGCCATCTTCCAGCTTTCATAAGAAATGAAACGCCCATTTTTTCCGGATTTTGGCTCCCGTATTTACATTCGTAGTGACCGCTATTGTATTTGAAATCAGGGTGACCCTTTGACCCGAGCCCTTTCTACCAATGAGCGTTCGATGGGCGGAGCTTGTCAGGGAGTAGTTGTGTTTTTCACGCTGCGACGCTCGATAGCGCCAGAAATTATCATTTTTTTGCGAATTTACAGACAAATTATTACAAACGTATGACAAAATTGGATAAATAAGAGTCTGATAGTCAAGTGGATTGCTTTTTTGGTGAGTGTAGTGTGCGAGTTTATTCACAAACCAGCCGTATTCGTTTGGTGTACAGCGATTCCAAGTGCGGACGTTTCATACCCTGTCTTTATTTCTATACTAGTATATAATCCTACCCAAGCCTATCTCCCTTAACCATAAATCCTGTTGCAAGCGCCCGTGACAAGGCCCACATAATGTAGACGCAATTCTGTTGAATGTTTTTGGTCGTTTATTCAAATTATCTTAGTTTTAACGTGTGAAAATTCACTGGCATCGCCAAAGCAAAAAATAATAACAATAATGTACTCCCGGTGGTTCATACTGAACTCAAGGAAATTTTGCACTCCATAATGTGCTTTCGTTCATTTTGAGCCACCAGGGAGTACATTATTGTTTAATTATTTTCATTATGATTATAGACTTACCAGCAAATCTGCTCGAACATCATTTACGTCTGAAAGTGAAAGTGATTGTAAATCAGGATAAGATAGGGTTTAATTAACTAAGAAACGAGAATTGATAAATGTGTAAATTGAATGTATCAAACCTTGTCCGACAGCTTCACCTTCTAAATCCTGTTGAAAATAATAAATTGGTTTGTAATAATTATATTTATAATCATTCATATATATATAAATATATATATATTGCTACAAGGCAAAAATACTGTATTATCAAGCCTTTGAAGTAAATGGTCAGCAATCGCAGTGTTCGTATTCGAACGGAAACTGAAATAAGACATGTGGATTTAGGTAGCAAAATAGTGCAATGAATGATAGTACAAAATTTCTAACGAGACAATTTATCGCTTTGCATAATTAAATGGAAATTATAAACAACGCCGGCCTACTTACTGGCAATTGCTGTTTTTCACCAGTAATATTGACGACCAGTAAGAATAATAAAGCAAAAATCATTACAGATCGCATGCTTGCTGCAAAGGCTGCAATTATAAATGATAGACAAATTAGTATGCATTAGTGCGTGTTTTTAAATGTGGCCTTTTAATTCAACATCGACCATGTAATGTGCATTAAAATAAAACATTACCTTATTCGATTAGATACGAGATGTGAAAACACTGCGATTCGTGGCAATGAATTGTAGTAAATAATTTACACAGTTAAATATTCGATGGATTCAGATAGAGTAGTGTGATTGACAGATTCTGTAAGCTGTTTTATTTTGATATTTAGTATTTTTGTACATCGTCATGACAACACATACCAGTGGAATTCTTAACCAGTGAGCTTAGACCGTATTACCGATATATCACCATTCAATGCAGATATATATGTTTCAAACAATTTTATGAAATTGGTATTGTATACATCTCTGATTTATGTGATGTACAAACTACAATTACAAATGATAGACAAATTAGTATGTATTAGTTCAGTGTGTTTTTAAATGTGAACACGTAATTCTACATCGAACTGTAATGTGCAATAAAATAATACATAGAGTAGTGTGATTGACAGGCTCTGTGAGCTGTTTTATTTTAATATTTAGTATTTTTGGACATTGTCATGACAACACATACCAGTGGAATTCTTACCAGTGAGCTTAGACTGTATTACCGATATATCACCATTCAATGCAGATATAAATTTTTCAAACAATTTTATGAAATTGGTATTGTATACATCTCTGATTTATGTGATGTACAAACTAAAATTATAAATGATAGACAAATTAGTATGTATTAGTTCAGTGTGTTTATAAATGTGGACCAACAACGTGTAATGCGCAATGAAATAATGCAATACTTTATTCAATTGGATACGAGATGTGAAAACACTGCGATTCGTGTCAATGAATAGTAGTAAATATTTTATACAGTTGAATATTCAATGGTTTCAGACAAAGTGGTGTGATTGACAGCTCTATGAGCTGTTTTATTTATTTATTCGAATTAAATTTTTCAACATGTTCAACAAATCGTAAATGCCACCAATAAATATACTGCCTGACCGTGTCCGACCAAAACATGGTGACTAAACTCAAATGTATACAAGTGAGGTTATATGGTAACCTTGCTACCTGTATCTCTACATACATTTGGAATGCAGATGCTTGTAAAAAATATGATAGCTGTTGATAAAATGTATCCCGTATCGTTTTCGTGTGTATTTAAATAACATTTTCCTCAGTTTATTGCCCCAAAATGAAAAAATCACAAATTTATTTAACTGAATGTAGTAATATTGCTGTCAGGCTCTAACGGGCGTTGGATTCTCTTAGCTTGGCAGTTTGGGGTAATATGGGGGATATTACGCATCAATCACAGGGTAAAACATGTCTAATTTAGTAATAACATAGGTCGCTTAAAACATAGTTTACTCTGGTATCAGTGGGGTTAAAATTTGGGGGTGGTCACTCTCAGTCATGGCGAGGTACCAACTTTGTTGACTACTGTCCTCTTCTTATGTTCTATTGAACTATTCACGCATTTCGTTTGTCTCTCTATTCATATTACAGTATGGGTTTCCATATTCTAAATTAGAAAGGGATCATGCGTAATGGCGCATGCGTAGTGGCACAATGTATGTGTTTTGAGACACCGTCACTTAGTGACATAATAAGAACTCTCCAAAAGAGGTGAATTAGCCTCAATTAAAAAAAATATGGGAATGTCAAACTGATTTTAATATGATATACAATGCCAATAGTAACACTAAGAATGAAAAGAAAAATAATGTAAACATTAACACATTAAAATAATTGTTACTGTTACAATAAACTGAATCAAAGTAAAAATGTAATATTCGAAATGACATCTAAGATGCTATGTTTTTAATGGAAACAAAAGATGCTCTTCATAGCATTATCTCTTTTTAGCCCGAAATTATGGAACTGTATTAATATGTAAAAACAGATATTAAGCAGCAATAAGTGAACATCATGTGATGCCTTAGAAAAATTCTGCATTAAAATCGCATTACCTCTAAACTGAATGAAACATCATCTATAATTTCAATACATAAAGCTTTGAGTCTAGCCGCAGCATCATTTCTGAAATATAGCATTTTCCAGTCAGCAAATCACATCTACTGTTAAAATTAAAATTAAATATTGAAATTAATTTATCAATATTACAAGCAGTGAACATCAAGTGATGCCTTGAATTAATTATTCATTACAAGCCTAATACCTCTAAACTGAATGAAACAGCACCTATTACTTGCATCCATAAGGCTTTGTGTCTAGCCGCAGCATCATTTCTGTGATATACCATTCCTTACAAGTAAGTTACCATATACAAATTAATTTGTTGAACACTATTTCATCTTAATAGTTTACAATCAATATCCTTATATTTGAATATATTTGAATCTGTTTCAAGACATTTTAAAAATTTAGAGGCATAACAATACAAGGACTAGATGTGGTGTCACAGTTTGCTCCCAATTCATACTGGAATATTGCCAGCAATAATTAATAAAGCTTGTTCAGCATACCATTTATTCTCGACATTATAGGATTTACAAAAGTAATAAATAAACATGTTTTTAGAAGACACCGCCATATTAAATTGTGATTGGCACCATACTATTTACAGCTGCAGGGTGTCTAAACAATGACCCAACAACCAATTAACACATCTTCCACAAAACATGTATTCATAATTGAACAACCAAAAAAGCAAATATCAAGCTGCATCCTGAAAACAAGACATCACTACCCCTCAGAATACACTCTACAACATTAACGGTTCCTATACTCATTTGAATGTATGTACAACAAGCTTAGCTAATAGATACACACGAATCATCAAACTTTTGACCATCCACTCATTATAATTATTGTAGGTGAGGGCGTTATTTACTAATGAAAAGGATCTTTGAAGGAATTAAACACATCTAATATAACAAGCAGTGAACATCAAGTTATGCATTACAGCCCCCCATATACTCATAGTGTGTGCATATCTGCCGACTTGTTCGAATAATAATTTTTCTTTTTTTCTTTAACTTTTTGGCAATAACAATTTATTGTATTGTTCAAAATACAACGCCACAAATGATATTATTCTGGATGATTTTAATGCAAATCTAGGATCGTCATTTGGGCGTGTACTTAGAAAATTTTGCACAGAAATTTCTATACATCGGATATATGTTTCCTTGGTCTTTCCACTGAAAAGTTTACATATTACAGCGAAGCTCATGAGAGTACTGTGTGGTTAGATCACACCCTCTGCTTACAATGCAATATTTAAGAAAATACGTATTATGAATGATTTCATGTCGTCGGATCACTGTCCTTTCAGCGTTTATATAGAGTATGTACGTCTGAATCAATTCAAGCATTGATTTGGCAATTCCATAAATCATGCTGAAATGATCTGAGGCGACTCAACATCAAGCTACAAGGTACTAATCTAGAACTACTCATCTCTGTGTGACAATAATACACCAAATAACGTACTGAGTTGTCGTGATCCTAATTGTGAAAATCGAGACCTACTATACTGACATTGTTCAATCATTGCATGTAGCGCCTAAGGATAATATGCCAACTGTCAACGCTAAACGATGTCACGAGATCCCAAGATGGAATGACACAGTTCGTGATTTGCATAACAATGCTATGAATGTATTTATGGTGAGAGTAATGAATGGAAGACCACCTACTAGACCAATATATGTATTGATTATAAGTTATCCCAGGGGAAATGGAAGTTTTGGAATTCAGTTAATAGTATGTGCTAGCATCATATGTTTTTGTCATATTACCTCAAACCCTGCAAATAGAAGTGTGCATGGGAAGCAACGCTGTGTATTGCCATGTTGTAACTGTCATAAAGGTGATTAACAGGTCATAATTGTTTTAAACTCTGGAAGAACAGTTGGAATATACAGGATGTGCACGTGTGTTTGTGATTAACATAACAACAAATGTTTACAACTTTGGAAGGAGAATTGAAATCTACCAGATGTGCTGTTCTTTGATGTTTATGATCTACTGCGTTGCCTACGTGACACATCTACTACCCAGATCACATTCTGATTGGCTCATGTAGACACCCAGGTGATATCACTGACTCTGGGCCATTCATGCTTATAAATTGGAAAGACCGAGGACAGTTAGGGTCTATCTTTTCAACTTAGTATCCTTTGTGTTTCTGCTACAATATTGTAAGGCAAATGATATAGACTTAAACCACCATTTTGGGAGACTTGTATGAACTGCTTTGTGATCTCTTGATTTCAGCAGTGCCCTCCAGAATAACAGCGTTTCTCTGCAAGTAAGACTCCTGTATTTCTTCGTTGTTGTGTCGCAGAAGCCATTGACTGTCATTCATTTCTACATCCTGGAACTGTGAGTCATCACCAATGCACACTTCTCTAAACAATCCACTATTTCAGTGCCTTTATTCATTGTATTTTTCTGTCTTTTATTTCTTGTAATTATTTTGAGAGGTATTAACTCGATATGTTTGTGTATGTGTATTTCATTTCCAGTACTATTGTCTTGTCTATCCCCATTCTAGCAGTGAAATAACCTGTGAAATGACCTCCTGTTATGTGGGTGCCCTCGCATTAGCAATAAGCAGGCCTTACATTGTTACACTAACAAAGTTGGCCCTATACCATCTACTATAGAGATTGTGATAAGCAAACAAGCATTTGTAATATGTGGAAAAAGCATTATGAATCTCATTTCAGTCTGTAAAAAATTACCAAAACAACAATCATATGATATCAGCTACGAATGGCGTGAATTACCATGATGTTATGATATGATGGTCACCTATAATGAAATCAAAGTAGCCGTTAATAAATTTGAAAAAGATAAATGTTTCGGAAAAGACAGACTGTGCTCGGAACGTGTCATATATGCTGATTAAATACTGTGTGACAATTTCGAAGATGCAATGATTGTCTCAATTGTTAAAGATAAAACTGAAGATATCACAAGAGTGAATAACCTGTTGCTATAGTAACTTTTATCGAAATTATTTGAATCGAATTGAAGAAATTATCGTGACTAGTGATTATCCGTTTGGGTTTAAACGTAAGCATTTAACAGAGTTGTTTCATGAACGCAACAAAAGCGTTTGATACGTTAAATTATTTGAAGTTATTGTATCGAGGTCAAACTTTTTGACTTCAGAAATATCTGCGTT